AATAAATAAACAAAATATCAATAAATACAAAATAATCAAAGTATCTGGGGGTACTTAGAGATTCTTACGACTTAGATTTTTATGTGCATTTCATGATCAACCGAATTGGGAATGGAGTAGGTGCTTGAAGAGGAGAGATTTGAAAGAGGATGCTAACTTTCTGTGTCGAATATCAGAAGGAGACAGCTTGAATCAAAAAGGATTTGTCAAACGCAGCAGTTCGGTGAGGAGGAGGATAGAGGTCGGACGTACGGAATCTGGTGGGACGGGATTGAAAGGAGTATTTGAATTGTGGGATCTGTAGAAAATAGAAGGGTCGCCGAGTTCTCGGAAGATAGCAAGGAAATACATATGGCGGTAAAACGGGTAAAGCAACTTCAACTCGATCTAAAATTGGATGATATGTGTATCCCTTGATATCCCAAAGATAAAGCGTATTGAGCAATTCATTAGACATTTAAGTTTAGCTTGGAGTTCTCCCGAGAAAAAATAGTCGAAGTGGGGGAAACAAGAGATGAAACCAGGAGTTGACAGGTTTTGAACGGAAGAAGATAACGTAGATGGTTAAACTGTTTCAGGGTGGAAATAGTACGGCGGGAAATTTGGGAAATGTGTGATTTCCAGGAGAGGGTTTGATCGAGGGTAATGCCAAGGTTATAATCGGTACTTTGGAAGAAGATAGGTGAGTTGTTCAGGAAAAGGTTGAGAGGGATTCGATCAGGATGGCTTTTGTTTTTTTCCGTGAGCTTATTATGGTTTGCCCATATTCTATTGATGTCTTGTTGCAGTTTTAGGGTGGCATTAGAGGAATCAGCCGGGTTGAAGGAATGGTAAATATAGATGTCGTTGGCATATAGGCGATATTGACAGTGTATGATAGAGAAAGGGAGGTCATTGATATAGATGGAAAAGAGGGTGGGGGATAAAGAGGAACCTTGTGGGACGCTTCAAGGGTAGAGACACTGATGTTGGGTTATTAGAGACTACAACATAATGGAAGCCACCGGTAAGAAAGGATTAGAACCACTTAAGGATACTAGACAATAAGGAAGTTTTAAGTTTGGTTAGGAGGATATTATGGTCAACCGAGTCAAATGCTTTAGAGAAAGCTAGAAGGATCAGGGTGGTCAGTTTCTGTTGTTTATACACTAGTCTTCAAGGAATATATAAGCCCTTATACTTTCAAAAGAAAAAAATTAAATTAAATTAAAAAGAATAAAAATAGAGACTTACAAGTGCATTGCCCCTTACTGAATGCACCTGTAAGTCTCTATTTTTATTCTTGTCCATTATTTCATATTATTTTTCGGTTTTCTTTAAATCTCTTCCTGAGATCTGTAGCAGTATATTTATGATTTCATATATTATACTACAACAATAGTTACCATTTATTTACTTCAGTTTAGAATCTTGTTACTTAGTTTACGCTGTTTATATAGTTTATTGTTCTTAATATTTCATTATAATACTGTTTTTTATTTCAATAAGTTTATTCACCTTGTTAGGGGTGGTTCAGTGGTAATGCACTGATCTTTCAATGCCCAAGGTCCTGGGTTTGAATCACGGATTATGGCTGAAAAATTATTTATTCTGTTTCATCAGTCGTGGGATCAGGAGATCCTCCAGGGGCACAGCCACCCTCTATAAAGTAGGTACTCTTTATAAAATAATTAATCAAGGGGAAAAAGCTGGCGGTTGAGCATGATCTCGGTCAAATCACTTCCTTACACAACCGTTGATTCAGAAACAGTTTTCTTTCCCTAAATAGTACTGAACTTCATGGTTTGTAGTGCTATAGTTCATTCATCTTGTTTATAATTTTATCTAAATATTATGTAACTTCCAGAATTTTCTGTTTCCTTTTGTATCTTGTCCGTTCTAGCCCAGAAGAAGACCTGCAAAGTTGGGTCGAAACGTTGGCTTCAAATAAAATAGTTTTTCCTCTATTTTAGTATCTTTATGACCGCCGTCCCAGATCATTTGATTCCTCGAAAATAGATTAGGTTTGTATTCGTACGATGAAAACAAATTTTAGGATAGATTCCGCTCGTGCCTGATCTCTTTTCTTTTTGCAATGTTTCCAATAAGAGAAAATTGGTGCTGACGCCTTGAGGGAGAAGAGAGGGGCGCTGGGACTGTGAATACTCTCCAACACCTTGGGGGGGGGGGAGCGTGCCATTAATCTTACTCAAACCAGTATTATTTGTTTGGGGGAGCTAGCAGTTCTCATCAGTCTTGTTACCAGGTAGTCGAGTCTTCCTCCATCTTCTTCATTTCAATTTCTTTTAATTTTACTTATTGTTCTCGCTTAAATTTTAATTTGGTTTATATCGAAATTGAAGATGAAATTAAGGTTAGGTTAATAAAGCTTGTTACTACTCTGTTGCAAAACTACCTGCCTCGCGCGTAATATAAAACTTATTTTTTTAGTATTTCATAATGATATTTACAACTGTATTAATGAAATACATTTAGTAAATTTGAACGTATGGATATAATTAAAACACTTGTTGATTAATTACCCAATGGTAGCACTCTAATGATATATCTACATTACGAGATCACGGGGCCATCTTCTTTTCAGACGCCTCGGAGGGTTATCAGGAATTGAAAAGGAAGCAACTTTAGAAACGAGAGGGCTGGGATGATTCCTATGTTTATTATGGAAGGATAGGTTTCTGGATTAGGCCAGATCTGAAACATAAGAAACATTTAGATCATTATGGATGGTTTTATTTCTAACAAAGTATTTCTAACAAAGGGAGCATTGAGAATTTTACGAAGGCGTTTGAATTGGAAGGATTGGATATGTGAGGAATTCTATGGTTTAGTGAAGCCCCATAGCTCAACTCCGTTAGTTCAAATAGGACTTATCAGCTATTTCAAGCTAGCAAGCTATTTCTTAAAACCATTTGTGTAATTGATTTGACGAATATCACGCTTAATTACAAGATTTTTCTCTTAATTTATTATTTAATTAACAGTACTCACCCAGCCTCAAGGGTGATCTCTCGATCTCATGGTCGATTCACGGCTAGTGAAACATAATATACCATAAACATAGCTCCCGAATTCATCCATCATCTGTAGCATAGGAGAACATTACCTTACTCAACTCCCTCACAATTTTCCTAAATCTTAATAGTAATGTTCTTAGATGAATTATAAAAGTCAATTTAGAGTTTCCTTGGTACTATTTTCAACTACTATAACAGACCACAGTTTTGATGGTTATAGTTCGTGATACAGACTCCTTTTTATCAAAATATTTACATTCACCTATAACTTCGTAAATAGCTTCATCTGACCGTAACTTACAAATATTTTATCTACGAAAATTCTCAGAATTTAGGCATTTTTAATCTGGTGATCGGCAAACATTGTATAGTTAATTAGGTGCTAAAAACTTGTAAGTACCCATTCGCTTTCCACTTGAATCATTCATGGTATGATCACAAAGTTAAAAGAAAATGTGTTCTACAAAAACATTGGTCCGTTATGTGTGATCTTCACCCCGAAAAAGTTAGAATAACGAGGTTATACAGGCCAAACGCCCCAAAATAAATTTGTAGGTCTCTCCCTTTTTTCCCCCAAACTTTATGATGATATTGTCTTACGGTTTAAGTGAAAGCAGATGGGTATTCGTGAGTTTTTAGTACCTAATTTAACAGACGAAGTTCGCCGACCTCCAGATTAAAAACGCCCCGATTTCAAGAATTTTCATAAATAAAATATTTGTTGGTTACGATAAGCTGAAGTTTTTTACGAAGTTACAAGCGGTTGTTAATAATTTGATAAAAAGGCGTCTGTCTATACCACGGACTGTTATGTATTATTTTATTTTTATCATTTATATATCGCCTCTATAGTATTACTGACTAATCGTATCATTCAACAAATTCGATTTAATAACTCTTAAATCAGAAAATATTTAAATTCACGAAATCCACATCAGTTTTGATTATTTCATCGATACCATGTTAAAGTAACGAATGTGAAACATTATGCAGGTTAACATTCAGTACTTTAACACAATGTCTACGATATCACTTGACACTATAATTTTCCTCTTAATCCTTATAGCTCTCTTCCTTTTTGCTGGGTTATATAATCATAATAAAGATTGGATGTTTAAATTTTAGTAGTTTATAGAGTTTATTTAATAACAATTACAGTTTGGTCCGACCAGGACATCTGTCGCTTGATTCCAATAATAATATGTACCTTTCAGTTGACAGAATGATTTCTACATTTTTGAATAATGTCATTTTAGTGTGTTATTCTATTGGAAAATTTATAATATCTTTACGGACAGTGAGTAAGTTTATTCCAGAGAAGATGATTGCAGTGTTGAAATGTAGAACTCTGAATAAAGGTATGAATTTTTCTTTAGAAGTATAGGCGGATATATGGGGGCTCTTTCGGGCTGAAGCCCCCCAAAATTGTAAAATGTAACCATGTTTTATGGAAAAAAATATCTATTAAAGTATTGTTGTACGTGTGATTACATTTAATATGACTTCAATAATCCTAGGGAATAATTTATTTTCAAAAATATTAAGACATAGCTCATCCCTTAATGTAAGCGGTCACGTTTCGCATCCATTCAAAGAACTGCAGGTAAGATAATAGTTTTATAGATTCTAGCCTTTAACTTTCAGGACAATAGCCGCGAGCTAAGTAGTTTCACAAATGAAAAATAGCATTTTTCACCTTTAACCTATCCTTAACTTCCTCTTCCATTTCGTTTTTTCTTGTTATCGTAGACCCTAAATAACTTCTTTACATGTTCGAATTTATTTCCCTGAATATCTACAACAATGAAATTCTCGCCATTTTCAAATTATTCTCAACCTTATTATATTATTCGCGGCCTTGAGCGATATTTTATGTTTCCGATTCATAAAAAAATGAATTTTATTTATTAATTTTTTTCATGTCTTTATGGTATGTATATAAATTTTACTTTATAATTATTTTAATTTTATTTTGTTATAGTAATGAAGGTTGTTCTTCTCTTGTTTGTAGTAGCTTGTTGCTACGCTTTACCTACTCCAGATGACTGGGAAGATTACAAGGTAAATAGTTTAATACCTTATTCAATATTCCAAAAATATGAAATCAAACTTTTAATAAGAATATTGTAACAGATAGGAATTATAAGACAAGTATTTTTTGCAAAATAAACACAGGAAGCAGTCACAATATATTATTTATTTGATTACAATTAAGTTATTTTCAATATGTAGTTATTGTTGCGCTTTCCCTCTGCTGGTACTATCCATCCTCGGTCTGATATGAGAAATAGTGGTAGTGATTGTCGATATTATCAAAATATCGATATTTTACCATCGATGGTATATATTGGGTTGCCCGGAAAATATTACAGGATTTTGGTTTAAAAAGAAAAAAAAAATTACAACTGTTTTATTTAATCAAAACATTTCTACTATTATTATCAATAAATTTCTGCCAACTTTTCCATTCCCTCGGAATAGAATTTCTCATCTTTAAAATTGATAAATTTCAAAAACACATTTTCTACTTCCCTTTGTCCATTAAATTTTTGTCACTTATGTAGTGGTCCAGGTGCCTAAAAAAATTATAATCCGTAGGCGAGAAGTCCGGAGAGTAAGGCGGATGTGGCAGAGTTTCATATCCAAGCTCCAACAGTTTTCGTGACGTTATTCGTGGCCGGGAGTAGTTATGCAATTGACCAAAGATGGCTTCATTATTGCCAATTTCTGATGCATTACACTAATTTAGTTACATTAATGGCTTCAATGGTGAAGGCTCCCTTCCAAAATTTGTTGAGCCACCGTTAAACAGTACATTCATCAATGCTGCTCTCGCCCCATATTTCCGGCCGAGTTTAAACTCGTAAAACAAAATTATACGAAAATCACGCGTTGAAATCTTAGTAAAGACTGAATTATTTTTAAGCAGCGAAATTCTACGGAGGTAAACAAATGTTATCGTTTGAAAGAGCATTAATAAGTGTTGACATTCATATAGATGCATACTCCAGTAAACGTTAACAGTTTGTTATATAGAGAGGTATTTTAAACAAAACTTAAAACCCTGCATTATTTTCTAGATAACCAAAACTTCGATATTATCGACTATCGATATCGTCCCTTCTATATTTTAATTTAAAAATATTAAAACTATCGTTTTCGGAAAGCGCTAGGAATTATATATGAATCTGATCGTTAGAAAAAAATATACTTATCTTGTCTGTATCATATAGAATATAGTGCGCAGCAAAGGAAAATATCGATAGCATTGAGTAGAGTTGAATAGCGGCGTAAACTCATGTCAGTAAATTCAGTTTGTCCAAATTTGTTTAGTAATGAGAAATATATGTAGGATGCGAATAAATCAGCATTTTGCTGTGAATTTGATTTGTGGGTGAATGGAAGGCATAATTGGTTGAATGGAAAATATCTGGTGTGTCCACTCACACGACTTTCCTACCTATTTCAGAAAAGTTTTTATATCTTTACATATGTTCAATTAAGTAAGTTAAAAGTAATAAGTTAAAAAAAAATGTGTAAAAAATACAATAAGCTGTATCGTCGCTAATACTGGTTTGATTCCGATGATTCTTTTTTCGTTTTGTTGGGGAAATTTAATTACCTTTTAAAAGTTTTATTATAAATTTTACCGCATAATATATACTTAGGGAGTTAGGCCCCATAACATTTTTCTTTTCTTTGTAACTTTTTTTCCTGTTTTTTTTCAGGAATTTAGTTTATATACGAAAATTGATAGAACAATGATTAGAACATTATAGGAAAGTTTCAACAAAATCGTTAGAGCCGTTTTTGCGCTACAGTCCATAGAAAAACATGTTTTTCATGTTTTGCTCGCAAGCTATTGCGCATGGAGCACTGAATTTCTGTCACAGGCATCAGTAGTCAAAACCCTACAAAATAAAAAAAAGAAGCAACAAAATCGGTTCAGTAGTTTCCGAGAAAATCTTGGCACAGACAGACAGACCATTGGCTAAAAATGTGTTTTTCGGACTCAAGGGGCTGTGAAACGTATAGATCCGTCGAAAACCGCATACCAAAAATTTGACCCGATTGCAATACTTTCCTTACCTAGTATAGGTAGGAAAGTAAAAAAGGTGAGTATGAAAAAGATAGACAGGAACTAGAAAATTAATTTTATTAAGAACGGTAGAAGTTTATATTTCCATTAATTAATTTAAAAGGGAAAATAACATATTTTTCGATGATGCTATGTGATAGAGAATCAGTATTTATAATGATAATCATATTTCAAAAATGTTTATAATATCGACTATTGGTATTTGAAGTCCCATATTTTGAAGGCATTGGTAGTTATCAGCTGATTTTTATATTGGGCATTTGATATCCCATTCCTAATAATGGGGAGTTCGGCTCTAGCCGGTGACTAAGACACATCGGCTCCACGGCGGTGTCCTTTTTGATAGAGTTTTATTCGCCCAATTGAGCCAAAACTTGACATGTGACCGAAGACGTATGCTGGAGACCTGCTGCTTGAATTTCGAAAAAATCAAGCAAAGAACTTCGCCAGGACCAGGAGGTAAAGAACTAACGTGCCTGTGGGACCGGGGTCCTTATCGCTGTGCAGAATAGGACTTGTCGGCCCCCTCCACCTCTCAGCGGCCGCCTCCATCCAGCAAGGTCAGTGCCGTCTTATCAATACCAACAGCTGTCACCGAAAGAGCCCAACCTATTTTGTTGTATCTTTTTTTTTCTCTCTCCTCTCTTATTTAAAAAAAAACTGATCACAGGAAAGCTAGATTATTGAAATTAATGAATTATTATTTATAAGAATTAGTATTTAGCTTTATCAACTCATCTATTTATTCAATTTTATTTATTATTTATTAAGTGGACGTGGGTGTGTTTATTTAATTTTTAACAATATATTTTATATATTTAATTTGTTTTTATTCATTAACTTATTTATTAATACATTACTATTTAACCTAGATTTTATTAATTGTATATTTTAATTTGTTTTTACTTGTTAACTTATTTATTAATCCATTATTGATTAACTCATATTATATTAATTGTAGATTTCAATTTGTTTTTAATAAATTGATTTTATAGATTTTAACGTTTTACCATAATTTATTTTATATATTTTAACTTAGTTTTAAGCAATAGAGTCTACAGATTTTAATTTCATTTTATATTTTAGCTTAGTTTTAAGATAGATTTTAACTTATTGATTAACCTTTTTAACTTGGGCTCTATTGATTTTATATTGTGACTTATTTTTAATAAATTGATTTTATAGATTTTAACGTTTTACCATAATTTATTTTATATATTTAAACTTAATTTTAAGCAATAGAGTCTATAGATTTTAATTTCATTTTATATTTTAGCTTAGTTTTAAGATAGATTTTAACTTATTGATTAACCTTTTTAACTTGGGCTCTATTTATTTTACATTTTAACTACTTTTAAGCATTTTATATTATTAATCTGATATTTATGTGTGTATGTTGGCATATATGCATGTCTCTCCCGTTTAGTTTTTATTTATTTGTATACGGGTCCACTCTCCTTTAGATGGTTTGTTTTAACCATGCGTGTAGTACGCATGGTCTCTAGGGGGGATATTGGATTTTGAGTGGACCTAAGGACAATGAATGAAGTCGAGATTGGCCAGAGGGTATGGGTTCTGAGAACTGGAGGACCTGCTCAGGAGGCTGTTGTTGCCTCTGTGATGTCTGTGGATGCCGCGGAGGGCGGCGAAAAGAAATTTGTAAAAGTCGAATGGCCAGACACAGAAGGTGTACTATTGGGAAAGACAGTTTCGATAGATGACGTCTTCCCAGCATTGCCAAATGTTCCACAGAATGTCGAGGAAGCGAACAGAGAGCAGGAGAAAGAAGTTCTACGCCCTAATAATAAAGTTTGTCCCATATGTGGGCTTTCTTTTAAGGGTGAAAGAGGTCTAGGAACCCATATTGCCAAAAAGCACCCCAGGGAGGCTAATACCAATACACTGAGGGGCATAGTGAAAAATGTTTTAAGGCCTAAAAATGGAGAGGGTGAGGTATCAAAAATAAAAGAGGACATTATCGGATGGTCTACTGTGTTCAAGAACCTCTCAAAAGAAAGCACGATAAATATTGCGGATTTTGATGAGGCCGTAGGCATGTTCCTGAAATTTCTCAAGAATATCAATGCGGAACTGCCAGGTCCCAGCACCCAGCCGTCAATTTACGATGAGAAAAAAAATAAAACTAAAGTAACTGACAAGGGTGCTGGACAAGTCTCAAATCCGCAAAGAGCGAACAAAGTAGACAGGAGTCGTCGGCAAGAACAGTATCAATATGAGGTTGCACAATATAATTATTATAATAAAAGGAAAAAGGTCGTGCAAACCGTAATGAATGCCGACGCTCCTAAGCGGTGTCCTCTGAAGATGGCCGATATCGAAAAACATTATAGAGACCTCTTTGAGAGCGAAAATCTCCGCAAGCGTGCGGATTACGAACAGTGCGCCCCGATGCCAAATTTGGTGTCCATTGATCTAGAAGCCGTCAAGAGAGCCATTAAATCAACATCAATGGACACATCGCCGGGGCCTGATGGAGTTCTGATCCGCACGATTAAATATTTTGATGTAGCAAATATTATCAAAGTAATTGCGGAGATAATGCTGAAGGTGGCCTATGTCCCAGAACCACTTCGACAGGGCGCACAATACTAATATATAAGGGGAAAGGTGATGTAAATAAAATCCCTTCCTGGAGGCCCATCACCATTTATTCTATTGTGCGCCGAATCATAGAGAAGGTTCTGGACCATGAACTAAGAAAGCAGGTCACCTTCCACAGGAATCAGAGAGGCTTTATAAAAGGCCTCCCGGGAACGCACGTCAACGCAAGGATTATCGACGCTGTATTGAAAGATGCAAAGATTATGAAAAAAGATTGTGCGGTGGTATTCCTTGACGTTGTCGGTGCTTTTGACAATGTTGGCCACAATCATATCGTGAGCTCCTTGGAAGCAAGAGGTGTGTCGCCGGATCTTAAACGTGTTATATCAGCTCTCCTCTGCACCAATACAATCAAAATTAGTAACGGTGTTCACGCAACTAGCCAAATCAAAGTGCTGCGCGGGGTACCCCAAGGCGGCCCCTTGTCGTCGTCGCTCTTCAACCTGGCCATCGATCATCTCTATCGCGACCTGTGCGATGAAGAATTTTCCAAAAAATTTGGATACAAGTTAAAAAGTGACCAAGGTTGTGTGGTCCTCACAGGTTTCGCGGATGACCAGGCCGTGTCAGCGCGTGACAAGGGGGCTGCAGAAAGAGTGATCGGCAGCGTTCAGAGGACTTTTGAGGAAATTGGTTTGGCTATTAATCCTCAAAATAGTGCTAATAAGTGAATTAAAGAAATAGTAAAAATAAAATAAATAAATAAATAAAATAAAAAAAAAATAAATAAAAATATAGGAAAAAAATTATGATAAAAAAATATATATATAGATAAAAAAAAAAAAAATTGTATATTATGCTCATATATGTTGTTAATACTATATAATTGTATATTAGTTTTGGAAAATTGTCTGTAGCGATTAATAAGTATGCTGTGTTTAAAGCAACCCAATGTAATTGGGCAGCACCCTTTTATGATAATAAAGTGATTCTCTTTTCTCATTACGGGATTGACCTCTTCCTCTTTTCTAGTTTAGTGAATGTATATTTTGAGGATCTGTTAGTTTGAGGAGCGTGGTAAATTGAGAAGAGTGCCATCGACCTAAGACAAAGCCGTTTCTTTTTATTCTGACAGACTCAGCAACTGCATGTAAACACCTAAAATTAATCTATCAAAATAAAGTACTGACATATATTTCCTTTAAAATTATATCACTAATATACAACGCCAGCAACAATTACTTTTTCCAGTGGGTGCCGTTGGTGCTTTCTTGTTTCTATAATATCTAATGTCTAATAATATAATATCTAATATCCAAGTTCCATATAAGTTACTTTCAGTAATCATCTAACTAAAATAATTAATATAAATCCAGTGTAATTTCATCTTACTACGACAATTAAAATATTTTACTGGAAAAATATCACTTGCTTTTACAAGTCTTAAAGCCAAAAAAGAAAAAAAAAAAAAGAAGCTGTTTCTTCTTAGGTCCGCTAATTCGTAATTGTTGTTTCCCAAGGACCCGTGGTGGCAACCACTAGCTTAAAAGTTCAATTATTGTTGATCAGTCGAACCCGCTATCGATGGTTTCATCTCTCCTATTGGAATATCGATTACACAACAAATAATAACAGTTGGTCACGTTTTCATCACTGTCGTTATAAACAACCGGCTAATGGATGAATAATATAATTTTAAAATTTCTGACACTTTTTTATTTTTATTATTGAAATTCACAACTGTATATATTATAAATACAACTAGTTAATATGAAGTAAGTAACATGACATGTACATGAAGAGAAACTACCCATTGGTAGCACTCCAATTATATTTCTATATTAGAAGGTCCCGAGTCCATCTTCTTTTCAGACGTCTCGGAGGGTTATCAGGAATAGAAGAGGAAGCAAGATTAGAAACAAGAGGGTTCGGATGGTTCAGAACTTTATTATGGAAGGATAGGTATCTGGATTGAGCTAAATCGGAAACACATGGTACATTAAGGTCATTATGGATCATTTTATTTGTAACAAAGTAGGGAAGACTGAGGATTTTACGAAGGAATGTAAGAATTGGAAACGAGAGGAATTTGATGGTTTAGTAGAGCCCCAAAGCTCGATCCCGTAAGTCCAAATAGGCCTTATTATAGTAATGTGCTGCAGTAGTCGAAAACGTCGGGCGGTTTCTAGTCGTTTTAGTCTGGTATGGGGGTTCCAAGTGAGTCGTTTGTCCAGGTGGAGTCCTAGGTATCGGATTTGTTCGACAGGGATAAGAGGGCTATTGTTGAAGGATACCGTAATACAGGAAATCATAGCTTTACGACGAAGAGTAAAGATCATTTGATGGGATTTCTTGGAATTTATTTCAACCCTCCAGTTTTGACACCATTTTTCAAGACTTGTGATGTGTGATTGAAGAGTTTGGGATGCAATAGATGGATCGTTATTAACCGATAGCATACACGTGTCATCGGCATAAGTGGTGATGACAGTGTTGGAACTGAAACTTTATTTCATTTTTTTTTCTTAATTTTTAGGGGAATTGGATAGCTCAGTGGGTGAGCACTGACTTCCAGAGTTCAGGGTCCCAGGTTCGGATCTGGCTGATGACTAGTTTCATTGTTTCATCAGCCGTAGGTCGACCCTGGGGTTTGGAGATCCTCCTGGGGGACATCCAGCCTCTATAAAGTGGGTACTCTTAATTAAATAATTAATTAAGGAGAAAAATCTGGCGGATGAGCGTGATATTGACCTGTCATCTCCCTGCACAAACCGTTGGCTTTATAACAGTACTTCCTCACATTCTACTGAACCCAAGACCATTTATGGCTTCATTGATTCCATCGCTAGGTTCTTGAAATACAAACTTCGCCTAATCGTTAGCTCCCATCACGTTAGTTATAAAATATATGGACGTCTTACTTTCACAATTATTAAAATTAATTCTTAGTTTATGTATTTTAAAATCACTTTTTTTTTTTGTTCAGACACAGTTCAATAAAAGCTATCCGGATGAAGCAGAAGAACAGATGCGGAAGGACCTCTTTGTTAAAAACAAAGCGTACGTTGATGAACACAACAAGAAACATGCAGCAGGCATGGTGTCCTATACTTTGGGAGTGAACCAATTTTCTGACTGGGTAAGGCTGTGTTCTATACACTTCTTATTTTCACTTACTTATACAGATTGTCTTAATTCTTAGTGCGCAAACTCTGAGGGAGGAAGGGGGTGAAATTCTAGACAAAATTAAAAAAAAAAAGTTCATTTGATGTATCGACCTATTCCGAACAGAAAAGAAGTTAAAACCAATTTTGTGTGGTCACGTTTTTTATTGAATAAGAAGGAATTGCTCCAAAACTGTTTGGGATAGTAAAATATAAGTACAATATCGTAAATAAGACATTTTTTTTCTTAAGAAAGCAGCGATTAAATTCACAAAGGTCAATGATAAAAGGGACTTGGAGTAGGTCTAATTCGGCCACTGTACACAGATATGCTGCTTGGTTATGAGTACTGTAACTGCACTATTAGACCTCCTCAAAGTCCCTTTTATCATTAATCTTAGTAAATTCAATCACTGTTTTATCAAAAGAAAATGTTGACTACTTTAGAAATAGAAATAGAAAATAACTTAATTCCCCCCTAAAAGAAAGTAACAAAGTCCATTTAGAATAACGAAATAGAACATAATTAAAATACTACATCTGGTCAAAATAAAACAATAATAAAAAAGAGAAAGTAAAGAAAATATTAGTTAAACAAGCTAAATACAAAAAAAAAAATTATATACAAAACACTTAAAACTATGTACAGTAGGAAAAATTATAATTATACTCTTTTGAGAAATAAAATAATAAAAAATACATTGAATTCTTCTTAAAAATGAGGTGTGTTTCTGCTAACAAAGAAAAGACAAAGCTGACAATATAAAATGTCAGTGTATTTAAATAATGAATAATATTTAGACTCATCATTGTCAAATGCTACCTATAGGTACAAATTTAATTATATAAGAGTAAAAAAAAAAAAAAAAAACAAACAATAGATACGGTCAGTGGCATTAAGAGCCGGAAGATATTGTAATATCCCTAGTGAACTTCACAGTATAGAATAGCACTATCGTTTGATGATGACTAGAAATGTATAATATCGAAAGTTTAGCAAGTATCTGACTGTTTTTGGGATAGGAATTGGAATAGGAGGGATTTGAATGTGGAATAGAGGGGGAATGCCGAATTTTCATAGGTAGAGAATTCCAGAAATTGACAGCGCGAGCTATAAAGGAATTTTGAAATGAGGCAGATCTGTGAGAAGGGGTGTAGAGGTTAGAAGGACGAGATCTTGTTGAAAGGGCATGGAGTGAGGACTTGAATTGGAGAAGGTTGTAGGCGTAAGAAGGACGATGGTTGTTGATGGTGTACTTAGAATTTTATTATCTAGTTTTTAAGCAATTCCTTCTTATTAAAAAAAATGTGACCACACAAAATTGGTTTTAACTTCTTTTCCGATCGGAATCGGTCCATAAATCAAATGAACTTTTTTGCTGGAAATATATACCTAATTATTTAAATATATTAACGGATATAATGTATCTAAGGTTAAAAACATATGTTTGATATATGAAATATTTTACGCGGAACATCTTCTTTAAAACAAGTGAAATAAAATGGTTTTAAATAAATTCCTTTACTTATTTAAGTAAATTACTACAGCGGATCTTATTCGTTTTTATTTAAAAGTTTAATATATATTTTAAAAAATATACATTTGATTAGGGTTTTTTTCTTATGTTGGTAAGTTTCCTTGAAGGGAATCATATCAATGAAATAGTTAATTTATTGAAAATTAATGACTCGAAAAGTATTTAAGATATCGAAATGAAATCGTTCAGGTTTAATAAACATGTTTAAAAGAATAAATATAGTAAAAAAAAAATCATAAAAATATGAGACCGTGAGTTTTACCTGCATTTTTGGTTGGATTTTTGAAGTGCAAACTCCTTTAGGGGCTTTATGCACTTTTTTTGTGTTGTATTTAGCCTTCAGATCTCCGATGTATATAGATTAAAATATCTCAGAAACTAAAAATCGGAGCTGCATATTGTTAGCGAGGGAATTATTTAGCATTTCATCCTCTTTGCAATAAGATATTATTCAAAATTGTATCTTACCGCGAAGGGTGTTAGAGAGGTGAAAAGGAAAAAAAGGGTAAAAATCAAATTCTAACGAGTTTTATGGAAAATATGGATTAAAATAAATAAGAAACTATAATTCGAACCTGCATATTGTAAGCGAGGGGAATGTTCAGCATTTCGTCCTCTTTATAATGAGCTATTATTGATAATTTATATTTCATATTATTAATCTCGCCTTGTTGATGTTTTTACTTCTATCGTATGGTCTGAAGCACACATCTTTTTTGTTTTTTTAAATAACACTAGTAATGACCCTAGGCGTTTATATAAAATCAGCTCAGATTTTAAACTACCTAGACTAATAAAGTGAACTAAATATATTACCTTTAGTAACGAGAGAATTCCTAAAAGGTTAATATTTGCTGTGCCGAATGGTAAGCGTCCGAGGGGTAGACCGAAGCGAAGGTGGGAAGATTGCATTAAAGCCGATCTGAAGGGACTGGGTTTGGACGGCGAACGGTGGAGGGAGGTGTGTAACAAGCGATTGGTGGTGTCGGCATCGAACCTTCGGGTTCGCTAAGCCTTATTATTATTATTAAATATATTACCAACCTTAGTGAGGCTGTTTTTCAGATGTTTTACTTTAGCTCAAGTCTATCTTTTTCAAATCATCCATTTTGTATGATTTTCTATTATACCATAATAGTGATAATATGATACCATTTGATTTCAGACGGATGAGGAAAGGAAGAAGCTTTCTGGTGGCTTAGCTCCACCTACAACAGAAAAATCCACTTGAATTCGAAAGAAAATTATAATAAAAAAATAAATAAATAAATATATGTAAGAGTATTAATATTGTTATCATAATTGATGTATTAAATAATTATATAATTTATATATAATAAAAACATCCACCTTGAACTGTTTATTTATTAGTTAATTTATAGTAAATCGAATCGTAATAGAATTATGGACGAATGTCTGACATTTTCAACCACAAGATGTAATACATTTTGCACCCTCTGCTAAATATTCCTGGAGTCCGTGAGAAAAAAATCGACATTATTTGATGAAAGCTTTGAAAGCATTTTTTTGAATGATTATAAAATTTATATTTAAAAAAATGAGAGTCTACAAGTTGGATCTTGCTACCTGGAAAATGGCGGCTGATATAATGAATACAAGACCAGTAACTTGAGGATCAAAATAAAATTGATAACTCGGGCTACCAAGGTAAAACTTTTTACAGCAAAAAAAAAAGATTTTTTCAATTTTTTTTTTATTTTTTCATCTATAACTCTTAAACGGTGCATCAAAACGAAATACACACTCTTCGGAACCTAAATAAAGTTAAATTTTGCGTTGAACGAGTACCTAAACTTAATAATTTGGTTAAGTGATGAGGTAGATAACCACGGTCAACCAACGCTGATTTTTACCAACTTCATCAAACACTGATACAAAAGAGTTCTCTAAGAGAAAACTCAAAGAATAAAAGTTGTAGAGCATCAAATACAGCGTCCACTGAATACTAACAGTTTTAATTCAGTGAATCGCGACCAAGACCAAGACTCGTCTTGGTCTTGGTCTTGATCTTGCGCGAGAGCCTCGCATCAGTCTGGCAGTTACCTGTTGGCTTAATACTATAGAGGCATTACGGTAATTATTTAAACAGGAGAAACCTAACTATGTCTGAATGAAAAATTAGAGGAGTTAAATGCAAAAAGTTATTGGTTATATCAATTCTTTAAATAGAGTAACTAAAATTTTCATATTAGTAACTATTTTGCCTTAATTTTTGTTCGAAAAATCGATTTTTTTTTTCTGTCTTGGTCTAGGTCTTGTAAAGTGCAACAGTATAGTTGTCTATTCTATTGAGTTATTCTTATATAAAGTGCTTGACGGAGACACTCAATATAGTTAGAATCGGTAATAATTTGTCCGAAAAATTTGAGGTTCGTTCGGGCTTAAAACAGGGGGACTCTCTTTCGCCTGTCCTGTTCAATTTGGCATTAGAACATGCCATTAGGGAGGTAATGGGAACCGAGAAAGGGTTGGATCTGGGCGGGACAACATCCGTGCTGGGCTATGCTGATGATCTGGTACTGTTAAGCGAAGATGTTGAAACTATAAAACTAAATACGAAAACGCTAATGAAAGCCGGTAAAGAACTAGGACTCGAAATAAACGTGGATAAAACAAAATATATGGTTAGCTGCAAAAATGTCGATACTACTGGTGATATCGATATAGATGGTAATATGTTTGAACAGGTAGATAAATTTAGATATCTAGGTTCTACGATAACTAGAAAAAACGAAATTGAAGAAGAGATTAAGGTTAGACTGAAGGAGGGAAATGCTTGTTATTTTTCTATGACAAAACTACTTAGTTCGCGCCTCTTGTCCCGAAACTTAAAAATTAGAATCTATAAAACAATTATCTTGCCTACAGTCCTTTATGGATGCGAAACTTGGCCGCTTACATTAAGGGATGAGCAGCGTCTTAAGGTTTTTGAAAATAAAGTATTGCGTAGAATATTCGGACCGAAGAAGGATGAGTTAACCGGAGAGTTCAGATGGTTACACAACGCCGAATTGCGTGAGCTGTATCCGGGTGATATAATTGAGGTAATTTCATCGCGGCGAATCAAATGGGCTTGTAAAGTTGTTGGGCTTAGTAATGAGAGAATTCCTAAAAGGTTAATATTTGCTATGCCGAATGGTAAGCGTCCGAGGGGTAGACCGATGCGAAGGTGGGAAGATTGCATTAAAGCCGATCTGAAGGGACTGGGTTTGGACGGCGAACGGTGGAGGGAGGTATGTAACAAGCGATTGGTGGTGTCGGCATCGAACCTTCGGGTTCGCTAAGCCTTATTATTATTATTCTTATATAAAAATATCTGGTGTGTCCACTCACACGACTTTCCTACCTAATTCAGAAAAGTTTTAAATCTTTACATGTGTCCATGAAGAAACAAAAAAGAATTGAACTAGATTTATTTTCCTGATAATTGATCAAACAAAAGATTTGAGTACGATTTATTTGATGAACCAAAGCAATGTTAATCAATGCAAACCGGCTTAAGGTAAATCAGTGTAAAAATTTCAATACTCACTAATATCGCTGATCAAAATCTTTTTGCCATAGCTTAGTATTGTCAAACAATAATTTCGGTTAAAAGTAGAGGAAATAGTGATGATTGTGTAATGCGGGCAACAGATTTTCTTACTTTCACTTAGTCATATTTATTCTCACATTCACCCCTTTCTGACACCAGGATATGAACCTGTAATCTTACATTGGAAATTGAATAGCTGTAACTTCGTTAATAGTTGTCCATAATGAACGAATTTTTATATAGTTTTGTACTAACGACAGACTAAACGGCGGATTGCGCATGGGGCAATAAATTTCTGTCACATGCATCAGTAGTCAAAACTCTACAAAATAAAAAAAGAAGCAACAAAATCGGTTCCGTAGTTCCCGAGAAAATCTTGGCACAGACAGACAGACCAATGGCTAAAAATGTGTTTTTCGGACACAAGGGGCTCTGAAATTTATAGATCCGTCGAAAACCGCATATCGGAAATATGACCCGATTGCAATACTTTTCTTACCTAGTATAGGTAGGAAAGTAAAAAGAATGTTATTCTTATATGAATTCTACATATTTTCCAGAACGACTTAATACAAAACAGAAACTTAAAACTTACAGTCCGATCATTTATTCACATATAATCTACGCATAAAACCATTAAAAACCAGCTCATCCGATGAAACCCGATATACACCGCATACTTCGTCTCTTCATTTCATTCATTAATTAGTTCGTGAATGAATTCAGTAACGACCATTATTAAGAATCATTACATGATTATCACTGCCTAGGGACTCGTCCACTTTACCAAATGTCACTTAGCAAATTGTAACATGCAACATTCAGATCTACAAGTTCATTACAGCCAGGAACGACATGAGGATCATAAGCAAAGAAAGGTATGTCAAACATTTATACTTTGTGCTTTTAAAAAAATAAAATAAAAATATATATATAAGTATTGTAACAAATAATCTTTGCATAATCAAATAATCTTATTTACAATAGTAACACACCTTAAACAAAACACGCTATATCGGTAAACTGTTGGACATATTTAATACAAAAACTAATACCCCACTATTCCATTCCTCAATTTTTCTGTTGTAAATAATTGCATTAAATAAAGGAATATTACATCGATAAATTCTACGATATCTTATAACTTAATTTATTACAAAATATTCTTTATAAATTTCAAAATATAAACTGGTACTTCGCGCGCATCACACTACTTTTCTTTACCTCGCTACTTTGGATAAAAATGATATAGTCCGTGGTACAGAACTCCTTTTATGGAATTATTAACATCCACCTGAAGCTTCGTAAATAGTTTAATCTCATCGTAACCTACTACTATTTTACTTAAGAAAACTGGAGGGGGAGGGGGGGAGCAAACTTTGTCTATTTAATTTTTTTTTTAGGGAATTTCTTTATTGAGATATATTACAATCTGTCACATTTCAGGACAATAGTAATAGTGATAATGAGTAGCTCATTCATACTATGCACAATAAATAAAGAGCAATATAATAATACTAAACGAGAATGTATATAAACTAAAAGATACTAAACTAAACAAATAAATTAATCTAATAAAATCTATTTAATTGGATACAAAAAAAACTCGTAAGTACTCATTTGCTTTCTTCTTGGATCGTAAGATAATTTGTTCACAAAATCGAGAAAAAAGGTTCCCTTAAAAAATATTGAGCCATTTGGCGTGACACCCTCAAATTGTCAAAATAAGGAGGTTACATAGTACAAACGGCTCAATATTTTTATACGCCACTTTTTTTAACGATTTTGTGATCAAATCATCTTACGATACAAGAAGAAAGAAAATGGGTATTTACGAATTGTTAGTACCTAATTAAATAGACAAATTCTGCCACCCTCCAGATTGAAAACGCCCCAATTCCAAGAGTTTTCGTAAATAAAATAGTTGTAGGTTACGATGAGATTGAAACTACGAAGTTTCAGACGGATGTTAATAATTTGATAAAAAGAAGTCTGTACCACGGACTAATTATTGAGGTACTATTTTAGTGAGTATTAAAGAAACTTTTTAGTTTATACTATCAACTCCAATTTACCATTATAATTGCTAAAATAAATGTCCAAAATGGTTATTTCTCGTGTTAAAAAAAAATAATGTCGATTTTAGAAACTGTTACCCATAAACTATTTAACATAAAGAACTGTATTAGAGCTCAAATTGAAGCTTATAGAACCTAGAATCTTCTGTTCGTGGTTTTTTAGAGATATGTTGAAAGTCCTTTCCTTATAGATCTTCTTATAGACCATGCAACCCCGATAACTAGCAGGATGGTCCTCACCACAGAGGGCACATTTTCCTGGTTCAACGGTTTCTGGCAGGTGTCAGAGGCGTGAGGACCGGCACATTTGACACACCGCACCGAGTGATGGCAGTAGGCCTTTGTATGACCTATGTTTTGACACTTAGTGCATTGCACGACTATATATTTCTGTCTTGGTTCTTCAAATTTTACAGTTGAATACAACAGTCTTTTGACTTCAAAGTTTTCAGAATCATTCCGGGCTGATTCTAAATCAATGAAAAATAATGGCAGTGGATATTTGTTGATTTGATGTAAAACAGAAGATATCTGTCTTACATTGTGGCCGATATCTTCAAGATCTTTTTTTATAGCGGTAGTAGGAGTGGTTGAGTG